CCAAAGCTGTTGTTGGACTGGGACCATCTCAGTAGACACGCTGGCTCCTGCCTATCATGGATCTCAGAACCTAGGCCTTATCTATTGCATGCTAATAGTCGTGGTCCAGGAGGGTGACCTCCACCCAGGCCCCACAGACACTGAGGTAACAGGAACAGAGGCAGACCCTTTACACAAGGACTCATCTCTACTGCTGATGGGCAGGGAGTTGGGGGCGGACAGCTTTAGGAAACAGGCTGGCATCTTCTGCAGCCCAAGGGACACCAGGAGAAGGCTGGCTGCTGGAGCAGCCCGTAGTGCTTGAGGCTGGATCTGAAGCAAACAAAGGAATTCAGTTAGCCAGCAGTTCTTGTCCCACTGCTTTTCAGTCCCTGTAGTCCTCTGTGCCTCAGAGCAAGGCCTGACCTCCAGAGAAGTGAGCTGTCACCCAGGAAAGGGCACCCCACCTTTCCAGCCTCATACGGCCTGGATCTTCCCTCCCATTACTCCTGGATCCAGAGCGTGGCTCAGAGGGCTGGCAGGGGGTTCCATCCTGGAACATGGGGGTGATATGGGAAGGCCTTGAGTGTGTGAGCTCTGGCCCATGTGAGTGCCTGGGATGTGTGAATGTGGAGGAGAGACGTGGGCAGGTGATGGCATATGCATGGGGTGTGAGGGAGTGTGCACTGTGTGTGTGGAGTGCGGAGGACTGGCGGGCAGGGTGAGGCATCCTGTTACGTGGGTGAGGAATAGGTGTTTGGTAGGTTCAGGGTATGAAGTGTGAGGGGGTATGAGTATGTGGTGTGGAGATTTGGGTATGTGGGGAGTGGGTGTCTGAGGCTGTGTGAGAGATGGAGCTCTGCAGGTGCGCTTCTTTCTGGGGTGTCTGCAGGGTGACACATTATTGTGTGTGGCGAGGTTTAGGAGGGTGAGCCCAAACCAGGTGTGTGGTGTGGTGGAGATAATATGCATGTAGGTTGGGGGGAGCAATGACAGAAAAGAACTAGAATATGAGTGTGCAGAGTGTGTGGGGCTGAGTGGGTACCATCCTCCTTACACCTCACGTGTTGTGGGCATTAATTCCCCCTCAAACTTGAGGAGCCCGAGGCTCGAAACAAGCTGCTTGGGTCACAGAGCCGGGGCTGTTTGACTTTTTTTTTTACTAACTCATATCATTTGCACATATTAATGAGGTTTGGGTGGTAGCTCCATATGGGCACAGTGTGCTCTCTCTGGCAGCTCACAGTATAGGAATGGAGGGCTGTGTCTAGGTGGGTTAAGGACGTTCCTCTAGCTTCTTAGTGTCACTGTGACGGAACTGGCTCACACAGGCTCATGAGATTTAACTGTGCTATAAAGGAACATGTTTGTAACCAGCCATTAAACATAGCTGTTACTAAGAAATTTAAAAGATATAAATTTAAAACTTATATAAATTAAAACCAAACTAGTAAAGCCTGCAGAAAATGTACCACTTTCTGTGTATTTTCCACTCTCCTCCTCCCTTGCTCTGGGTTGTGCCCACCGTAGCAGTGGGGTTGCTGCTCTGCCAGCTGCTGCACTTCCCTGCCCACCCCTGCCCAGTCCTGTCACAAGATCTGAGTGTGTAAGGCCCCAGGAGTCAGCAAGCACTACAAATTAAGACTGGATTTATTGTTTTGTTGCTTGTCCAGACTTTAAAAAACTGATGGAAACAAATGTTACCAGTGCAGAGTAAGTCTTAAAATTTTGTTAAGTTGGTAGTTCCTACATTTTAAATAGAACAAAATATTGAAGAAATATTTTTTTCTAGTATTTAAAACTAATTTGAAGTCGCTCAGATCATCACCAATGAATGAGTGAAGTTCTGTCTTGGTTGTTTCACTTTTCTTTTACTTGTTAAATGAAACAAAAATATTGATCAACATTTAAGTCAGAACTATACTCACTTGTCACTGCAAGCATAGGTTGGCCATAAACAGAAATCAAAGAACTCATGGATATATGGGACAATTTGCTAACTAGTAATTTGACACAGTAAAGGATACTGGATATTTGATCAGCATTTATAAATTGTCTGCTATACATCCTTCCTTTAGGTCAGTAAAATTTATAATAAACGTATGTTTATGCATACAAACATTTTTTAGAGCTAGTTGTTCAATGTCACTGTTTAAAGGTGGCCTTCAGCACCCAGTAGGCCCTTTATTACCCAGAACCCTGATATGCCTCCTTTATTGTACAAAGGCTGAGGGGGAAGGGCACCTGCAGACACATGGGGAGAAGCTTCTCAGACAAGCTGTGGCTTGTCGCCAGCTGGGCTGTGACCTCCCCCTGGAAAGGGGCAGCAGGGCTCATGTGGGCATCCCATTCATTCATCACTTATAATTTAACCTCTCTTTGTGACAGGCACCAGGGACTGAAGGTAGGGAGAAGACATGGTCACTGCCTCCAGGGAGCTCACAACCCAGCTGCGGAGGCACCAGTCACAGTCAGTCTTTCCCTGGAGAGCGTGAGGGCAACAGGAGGCCCCGCAGAGGCAGAGGGAGGCCAGGACACTAGGCACTGGCCTGATGGACGATGCGTCTCACCATTTCAAGTATACTCGTAGGATGTGTATTTAAAATGTAGGGATCCTCTTTCGGGAGGTCCAGGCAGAGTGGTTCCTGAGAATCTGCAGTATGCTAGGGCACAGTAAAGCAGGGGACTCGCAGGTAACACTTGGGAAAACACTGATCTGGGGAGGCAAGGATGACAGTATGTGCCGAGGAAGGGAGCTATGGAAGGTGACATTGTGGGGGAAACTTGCCAGGAGAGTTTGGGGGTGGCGGGAGCACAGCCAAGGCAGAGCAGCCTGGAGGGAGAGGGCAGAGAAAGGCCAAGAACAGGCAGCTCCTGCAGCCTCGCCAGCCTCACGAAGGGGCTTGATTGGTTCCTGTGGGACAAGGGGCTGCGGAAGCAGACAGGTGATATGCTCAGACTAACTTTGTAAAGTGGGATGTTCCTGGGGGGTGAACTGGGAGCCTGGAAGGAGGAGCATGGACATATGTGAGGCCTAAACCCAGGCACCCCACTGGGGGCAGAAGGGAAGGGACTCACAGGAGGACTTCTAGATCAAAACATAGGGCTAGTAGAGAGTTAGGGTGCCATCAGGGTCTCTCGAGTGATGACAGAGTAGATGGCAGAGCTGATCACCTTGCCAGAAAACAGGAGGGAGAGCAGACCTGAGGTGTGATGAGTTCAGTCTTGAGCCTGGAGAGTTACGGTGCCCCTGGAGGAGCCCAGGGAGGTTTGGTGCTCAGGGGAACCATCAGGAAGAAGACTTGGGAGCCCCTTGGGTAGGCGGGAGAGCCTGGGAGTGAGGTTATCCAGGGAGAACCCAGAATGTGAAGAATCTCAGAACAAGCTTCCAGTCAGGTACCCGCCTTAACCCCATTTCTGGAAGTGGTAGCCCAGATCCGGGTCCATGCTTTCGGGAGAGCCCAGGGGTGGGTGGGAGAAGGTTGGAGGAGCCCAGAGACATAGATAGGGCTGCTGGCTGCCTTCAGCTAGAACCACAGTGGTTAGGAGTCATGGAGCCGGTCCTGGCTCTGCCACCAACTTGCCATGTGACCTTTGGCCAATCACATTCCACTCTGAGCCTCAGCTTCTTCATCTGAAAATAAGAAGGTTGGACAAGACCAGTGATTTTCAAAAGACATTTGGAGCCCCAAGGTCATCTAGAAATTTTTCCAAGGAAGCACTGTTGGAGGAGAAGGATGAGGCTGTGGAACTGCAGCTTCATCCAGAGCTGTTTGTTTTCATGTTTTCTGTTGATGTGCTCCAACTGAGAACCAGTGGGCCAGCGAATCCCTGAGACTGCTGTCCATGTTTGGGTCTATGAATCCTTGTCAGTATAGGTGCTGATGGAGACCAAAGAGGAGTAAAAGATAATGAGAAAGCCGATATCTTTATTACAGATAGTGTGTGAACCTCTGGGCCCATTTCCAGCATGACAGAGTTATGGGTATGTCCCAGTTAAGTAGGACTTGGCTCTGCCTGGTCATGAGTGATTTCAGCAGTTATGGAGCTCACTTTGTCCTCTGCACCTGGCTGGTAGGCCACCAACCTCAGCCCTGTGTGTCTCCACTTAGCCCAGGGCAAGCGCAGGATGAGGCTGCCTGTGAAGCAACATGTCACCTCCCTGTCCCTCGATGCACTCTCACCCTTGTCTCTACAAAGGCAGGGCAAAGATTGACTGAACAGGATACCAGATACTTAGTTCTTCCTCAGGCTTGGCATTGGTGATGAGCCGTCTGTGTGTGGAAGGACGTGGCAGGTGGTGCCCTGGCTGCCTTTCAGCCCTGCGGAGCTTCCCTCAAGGCTCCTGGCAGTGGGCACTCTCAGTTAGCTGAGGCAAGGCAGCATGGGACCACTGTGTGTGTTGGGTCTCGGGGAGGGAGAGTGATGGCGGGGCCCCAGGATAGGAGAAGACACACCCATGCCTGGAGGAGCGTGCCTGGCTTCCGCCCTCAGGCTGGGCCTCGGAGTTGGGAAGAAGCACCCCCCTCCCTGCTCTGAGATCCCTGCTCTGGGATGTGGTAAGGAAGGAGGATGAGGGAAATCAGCTCAGAGGAGCCCCAGGGCATGCTGGTTTGCCCTGTGCCCCAGCAATCCAGAACATGTGCAGCATTGGATGCACCCCTTGCTGGGAAGGTTGTGCTACCCTGCCCCACCTGTTAAAGGATCCTCCACCCCCAAAGTAGGACACATTGAGCCCCAGACCCCAGGCTCAAAGATACTGCTTTTGGGGAGCTCCAGGATCCCAAACTCTCTTACTCCCTCAGGAATAGTTTGGATGGAGGTCTCAGCAGAAGTGGACTCTTCACCTCCTCAGATAGGGCTCCAAGACCCCTAGGGAAAGACCCCCTCCCTATGGTCTCTCCCCTTTTCTCCTCCTCTGGGCTCTCATTCCCGGGACCTCAGAAGCTGCCATCCATTCTCATTTGTCGAGGAGGTTGGATGGGGGCAAGGTGACAACTCTCGGTGTTTCCTGACAACAGGCTGGGGGAATCAAGCACCAATGCGAAGCTGAAGAGAGTCCTGGAGACAGGGGGCGGTGAGACCGAATCTGCCCAGGCCACAGCCGTGGCCGGGGTATGGCCCTGGGCCTGGGGAGGGTCGCTGTTTGAGCGGAGGATGCAGCTTTATAAAATGACTCCGTAAGTATGGGCTGGGCAGGTGGGGCCACAGCCCCCCACTGCCCCACCTGGGACTGTGGGTGTGGACCAGGAGCCACCTGCACGCAGCACAGGGGGAGACCCTGCAGCAGGCAGTGCGGGAACTTGCAGAGCATGGGTGGCCCTGGTCCCAGGAAGACACGGTGCTTGGGCTGAGGCAGAGCAGTGGCTGACTCTTGGCCTGTGGGCAGTCCAGGTTGCTCTCTGAAGCCTGTGGAGCCCCCCCGCCCCCGCCATGTCCTAGGCCAATGATAGCCAACCTTTTAGAGCTTTCAACGATACAAACAGCCTGTTGTGCACAGAAGCCATAGGTTTGCCACCACCGTCCTAGGCCATAAGCTGAGGCCTCCCATGAAGGGTGTGTGTGTGAGGAGTGTGGCCTGTGCCATGACTGCTGGCTGCAAGCTGGCTTTCTGCTCCAAATGAGAGCCCTCTGAACTCAGCAGCCCAGGGAGATGGCCCCTGACTCCTTTTATAGGCAACAAGGCTCTAGAATGGTGGTTTGCATCATAAGAACCACTGGGAATGTTTTTTAAAATATGTATTCCTGGGCTCCACCCCCGTAGAGTGAACCCTAGGAACCTACGCTTTAAAGCTGCTCAGGTCGTTCTTGTAGGTAGTGTGCCCTGGGCCAGTCTTGCTGTTATGTATCTGGAAGCCCAGCAGTCTGCCTGCAGTGCCACACACTGGACATTCATACTTTGGCTCTAAAAGATGTTCTAGTCACCTGATCTCTCGTATCAGGAAGAAATCCAACTGGCTTTCCCAAAACCTCCTCCTGAGGCCTTGGAGAGAAAGAATGGTACACAGGGTGGACCTCTGAGGGAGAAAGACTCAGAAAGGGGAGGACCTGAACATCACGCACAAGGGATTGCTGCAGCAGGCAGTGTCTGGGCCCACTGAAGCCATGACTCTTGACTTGCCCGGGGAGTATATGTCCACACCAACCCTGTCCTGCCCCTGTTCAGCCACGGGTGAGCCTGGCTCCGCTTACAGGGACATGAGGAGGGAGATCATGTTTTCAGAGGATTCTGGGAGATGAGCCTGCCCAAAGATCATTAAGAAATCTCTTTGATGGAGTTCCTTTTCAGCATTTTAAATGTTTTCTTTAAAGAAAAAGAACCTAGTTAATTCAAAATGACCTTTAGAAAAAGATAAAATAAATGACCTTTAAAGCCCTCAAAACTGACTTACTGAATTAGCATGAAGGCAATGCAGTTAAATCACTGGCTATCTGTTTCCACATTGGACGCTGATGTTGGAGGTGGCCTGTGTTGGTTTATTTATTTCCCGGGCCAAATGTGCACGTCTCCCAGGACTGCACATGTCCACGCCTCCGGGCTGGAGAGCATCCCAAGGTGTTCACTCGACCCAGTTTGCTTAGTCAATTCCCAAGTGCTGAGCCTTTGGGTTCTTTCCAGCTTCTTGCTATTATAAATATCATGGCTCTGAAGATCTCTGTACAAATTACTTTCCTAGTGTTTTACTGGGAATCATTCCCCAAGTGGTATGACTAGGTCAAAGGGTGTGAAGAGTTTTGTAGTTCTTGTCATATATTACTAGGTAGTTCTCCAGAAATATTAGATCCATTTACCATGACACCAATTATGTGTGACTGTCCCCACAGCCCTCCAACATCAAGATTCATCATTTTTCTTCGTTGTTTTATTTTTTCCCTCATTTTGCCATATTAGTCAGGATGGTGCCATAAAGTTGTTTTTGTGTATATGGTTGGACATTCTCTGCAGGAACTTGAGAAGGTTTGGACTTTATTTGTCTTGCACAGATTATGGTGGGTTTGGTCCTGAGTCAGAGTTGAACCAGGGTGAGAATCCAGTAGCTCTGAGTTTCTAGGCTTACTCGGGCCTCAGGCTCCCAGCAGTAGGCCAGCATGCACACCAGAGCCACAGCTTCAAATGCTCTGAGGTCAGGGGATGGATGTGGTTTTAAAACAGCATTGCTTGTCTTGGGTAGAAGACTGAGATGAAGGGGAGAGGGAAAGCTCATGACCCTGTGTGTGTCTCCAGCTTGACAGGCTGTGCCTGAGCCCCACTGGGGCCTGCACAGCCACCTCCGCTGCTCTAGGCGTTCCGAGTGCCTAGATTACCAGCTTGTGCCTGCCCAAGCTGCACCTGTCGGAATAAACCTGTCGATCCCAGTGACCACTCGGAGTGGCTCCAATACCAAGTGCATTCAAATAGGCCTCTGATGGTGTCCAGGAAGACCAGCCTATGTAAGGTTGGTTGAGGCCTGTGCTCTTGTGCTCACCTGAGGTCTAAGCATGGAGAGTTGTGATAAAAAGGTGTTAGGGAACATTGATCTACGTAAGAGTCCAAGACAGTGGCCTGCAGATGATGAGAGGGAGGGCTCATCTGTGACATCTTGAACCTGTGACAGGTTCAAGACAGAGACAGTGAGGTTGAGGGACACAAAACCCACCGATGGAAACTGGGTTCCAGGCTGTTGCAGGCAGGCTATGGGTCCTCCTAGGCTCTCAGAACATATAGGTCATGAATAAGGAAAATAAGTCAGGGCAGGACAAGCTAGCAAAGCATGGGAGGTCAGCAGCTTAAGTCATGGTGTCAAAAGACACAGAGAACTTGAGAATAGATATGAGTACTCTAAGGTATTCCGTATAGAATGGAACAGCATGTGACCAAGAGGGGTCTTGTGTGCCCAGTGCCAGGGGCCTGTCCATGTTGAAGCAGGTCCTTGGGAGACAAGGAGGACACAGTCAGTGTATATACCGACAGCGGGGCCCAGCCTCTTGGAGGAGAACTGACAGAAGCTGGCCATGGAACTGTAGGTGTGTTGTACAGGCTGACCTAGACTTGGGCAGGACTGCTGTCTGCAGAGGGCAAGCCAGGCCCACGGACATCAGGCTTAGGGTGAAGTATGCATGTCGCTGGAGTGGTACATGTTTTGGGCTCACCAAGGTCCTCCAGGCCTTGGACAGAAAGAAAATCTCCTTTTCTTCTCATTCTCAGCATGCTGCTCATGGGGCTGGGGCTTGGGTGGGGCTGGGGCAATGGACAGTGGGGCAATGGACAGTAGGACAATGGCGGATGCCCTGGGTCCCCGAATGACCACTACACAGCATCAAGAAAGGGTTTGGTGAGGCGGTGATGTAGCTCAGTGATGCCCGCGCCTGCCTGACAAGCTCAAAAAGTCCTGGGTTCCATCCCTGGGACAAAAAAAGAAAAAAAAAGACAGGGTTTGGTGCATAAGTATAAACCTTAGATTCAGATAGACCTTGTCTGATCCTGACACTGTACCTTACTGTGTGACCTCTAACATCTCTGAGTTTCAGCTTTATCTTCTGTAAAACGGGGATATTCATAGCCCCCTTATAGGGTAGTTGAGAAAATAATGTTTGAAAGTGCTTAGCTCAGATAGTTACTGCTCAGTTCATACCAGTTTTCTTCCTTTTGCTCTCCTACTATGTAGAGCAGGTTGACTGTAACCACAGGCTCAGCTAGGCCTTCACCATAGGCCAAGAGAGGGCCATGAGGAGTGTGGACATGGGGGTGGGATGGAAGAAGGGGCAGCATGCTCTCTGGTAAGCCCAGGAGCACAGATGGAATAGAATCTCAGCTTCTGAGTTCATCCAGTCTGGGGTACGGGGAAATTTAGTCTGGTGGATAGGTTAGAACCTGGCAAGACTCTGTGCCTTTATTTTCTTTTCTGAAAAATTAATACTTCATTCCAGAGTTGTATGTAGCAAACTAGTGAGAATACATGGAGAGTACTTAGCATGACTCATGCGCATACTAAGAGGTTGACACATGTGTGACAGTGTGGTATCTGTGGCTGTGAATACTTTCGATGCCCTCAGAATCTTATCACTGTGAAGGGCTTCTCTCTGTGAGCCCTGGGTTTAGCTTGGGGCCCAACAGACATGGAAACAGTTATGTGCATGGTGGTCAGTGCTTGGACCGGTCCAGTCTGCAGCTAATCATGTCATCCTAGAGTTGGCTGGGAAGGAACGGGTCCAGCAAGGCTGCTCCGCAGGCCCCTGGAACAGTGGGGATTCTGGCAAGAACCTGTCACGGGCAGACTAGGGACTCAGTAGTGTGTTCTTGGAGTAACAGGTGCCAGCAGGTCTACTCAGGCACTGGGCGTGAGGTGTCACTAAGCACGCAGCAGAACAGCCTCTCCCCTGCAAGAGTATGACCAGATGCAAGCAGCACAGAGATCAAGGAAACCAGAGGGCCTAGCATGGGTTGGGAGAGGTGAGGGTGTGCCATAGGCCACTTATGCAGTACAAGGTGCTAGTCCTGGGTTCAGTACTTATACCCTGGCCCTGATCCTAGACCTAATTAAGTACTGTTCTGGGGACCAGATGATGGGCATTGTCCTTCTTGGGGCCAGGAGGGCCAAGCATAGGGGTCACAGCCCAGGGAAAGACAGGTCGCAGCTGCTTCTAGCTTTCTCTGGCAGCCTCCTGAAGCCACCTGCATGGGGGCACCATCACTGTACTGCTGCAGTCCAGGGTTCTGAATGCCAGTCTGGGATCTGGGTAAGCCTGTCTGACCACTGGTGTCCCCTTCTGCAGAATGCCTTCACGTATCAGGTACTGTGCTGATGCAGGGGACAGAATCAGGCCTGCACCCTGGCCCACAGAGCTTGCACCTAGGAGATGTGCAATGACTTCTGGTGTTTGAGGACTTAGGTAGGGGTTATGAAAGCACTCAGAAGGGATAGGAAGCCACCTGCATGAGTACTCTGCTAATGGCTTCTAGTCCCTGTCCCCTTTGGGTGACCCTGGATCCGTCTGGGCCTGTCTGGATCCTCAGAGCAACCTGTGCGCCTACTACCTCCTCCAAATGCACACATGCACACACACACAGCCCTCACCAAATAAGAGGGAACTCTACCTCTGGCTTCATCTCTGAGCTCCACTCTGTACCTCTCACTTGCACTGGCTGCTCTGCCCTTCCTGATCTGCTCCCATCCTTCTAGAGTCTGGCCTTGCCCCTCAA